GCTGATGACAATCCTTTGGTTCATTTCCCTCTGTTACTTTTTACTTTCGAGACGAAACGGTGTTATGGATTATTATTTTAGTTCTTTCTGAAAGCCCCATGTTGATCTGGGACTACTAGACTATTGGGACTTATAACAAAGAAGTATCTGCCAACTGTGTTACTTGCCTAGAATGTCGTTAACAGCTAATTGATAGAATCAGGCGTAACTTTGCGGAAATCCATTACAATACAAACATACAACTATGCCAGGTAAGACACACCATCGACGATAATACGACACGTGAGTCTACATCACCTGAGGATGCCTCGTGTAGAGGCGAAACACGTGTCCTATTATCGTCGATGGTGTGTCTTAACTGGAATAGTGGTGTTGGAAGTAGTGGTGCCGTGAGTAGTGCTGGGACTAGTGGTGACGGAGTTATTGCATGCAATTGAGCGAGGGCGGGAGGTGCTCTTCAATCCAGGTAAGACACATCATTGTATTTAGTTAGCGGAAGGTTGTGAAGTTATTAATGTTTTTATTATGTCATTAAAAGCGACTAATGGGATATCACTCCCTTCCCAATTACGTATTCATGTGAAACCCATTTTTACCAAACATGCCACAAGTATTTTGCTGCTCTTTGGATTCTGTCTACCCTCGGGAATTACATGTGTGAAGACTAGTTTTTCCAGTTTAAATTAGTATAGTTTAATTTGCTTCGATAATATTTAGAGGTAAATACCACCTTAATATTTTATAGTGTGTGTTATTTCATTACCAATTTTGATATAGTATGTGCGAGTACGTACGGCGTGTCACAGCGTGTGTGCACCACCTTAGTACAACACACGCGTTGCCCCGGGCGCTCATTAAAATTTCAACGTTTCCGTTTATGCCCCGTTTTGTGTATGACGTGAATAACTTTCGCCATTATCGAAATAATGACACGTGAATTTACGTGTAACATAACGCAGTTTATTGAGCTCTTTGTCTACTCTACTTTATTATTAAAAATTATTTCATACAGATATGTAACGGTTAATATTTCTTATATTTACGCCAATGCGACACATGGAATAAAACTTATTTTAAGAAATCGTCGCGTTTAATTTTAATTTCTTTTATCGATCACGTTGCACTCAACCCCCCCCCGTGATTGATAAATTCTGTAAAATTAGTTTCGTTACTTGACAGTTGTTAGATTGAAAAACGTACAGGAACTGTGCTTAGCGTTGATTTTCTGGTGGTAAAAGTATTTTTAATGGAAAAAGTGGCCTTTCGCCATCATCCGTGCTATTCACCTCATGGTAGGTGAATGCCGCCTCTCTTTTACATCGTTTACGTGGTAGAGCCACGCTGCAACTATATTATGGTTGTAGCACGAATGTTTGACTTGACTGGGGAAGGACAACGCTTTCACAAAATAACGGCGTAAAATAGCGGCTTAATACTGCTGTGTTGTGAGTGTAGAGATCCGGAGAACCTTTTTTATACCGGAAACGAGGCATTCATCCATCTTAGTCCTTAGGGGTGACAACGTATCTGCGTTTAATTCTTAATTGAGGATAGATGTAGATGTTTATTTGGCACAGCATCCACTTACCATCAGGTGGACTGCGTGCTCGTTTGTCACTTTTATTCTATAAAAAAGCATCGTAACACTGAAAGCATCACAACATGTGGATTGCCGTCCTTTCAGGAAGGAATGAGAAGAGCAAGTTCTTATACCACAACTAAACAATCGTTTGGTGATAGTAAATACTACAAGGTAGTCGTGCAAGTGGTTAGTCTCAAATATTTTAAGTATTATTTATAATCTTTGTTTTTTTAACTGAAGTGGCCAATTATTTTACAGTTCACGTGATGTAAAGTGGCTACTGTAATTATTGGAATCCTGTAGCCAACTTTTAACAAAGAACGCTAGAGATTGGTTGTCACCTCTGAGAACTAAGAATGCCTTACGGTCTGTAATTATTTTCAGTGATTGAGTAGGAAATAGGAATAAATAATTTAGTTGATGTTAATTGTAAATATTCATTAATTGACAATTTTAATTAATAATACCATAATGTAAATGTGATAATATTATTATTATTATATTATTATTATAATGATTGCCAATATTTGTTGTGCCCTTGCACCCTGCAACTTCTCCTTCTTGTTTCGAACTATTTTTCATAATTAAGGCCAAATGTTTCAACAAAGTAGTAAATAAATTGAAATGAATTGAACTATAATGTTCAGTTCGGAACATAGTAGGGTTCTTTGATCTTCCTTTAACAACAAGGTTTGTATTTCTACTCATCTTACCGAGGTCTATGATAACTCAATAACTTTTCAGACTGCACTTTTTGGAATTCCTTGACTGATAATATCAGAAAAGCGCTAAAAAATACTCTTTTAAAAAGTTGGTTCGCGAGCATTAACTGAGGAATCATTAGAATAACGATATTGTTAAATAGTCGTATTCATTTGTATGTATTAACTTTGTATATATATGTATTTACTTACAATATTAATGCAATCAGGGTTTAAAATTAAAAAAAACACTTCTATTTGGTGGAAGACATAGTTAAGTGGTAGCTGTCCGGATGGATTCGTAGGCAGACTAGCTTCCCAACTGTACTCTATGTTTAAACAACTAAAAAAAATTATTAATTAGACGATGTGTAAAGTTTGGCATCCACATTGAAAAGTATCACTCTGACTAGGGAGACTGAAACAGGAGATTGGTAGCAGAATCTTCCTAATATAAAAGATCCCCGCGCGCACCAATGAAATTGTTAATTGAAATTTTAAGTGCTGATTTACCACGTGCTCAGCGGTGAAGGAAAACATCGTGAGGAAACCTGCATGTCCGAGGAATAAGAAAAAAATATTTCGAAGACATCATCATTACAGTCCTTCACAAGTCCACTGCTGAACATAGGAATGCCACAAAGCACGGTCCCGAGCCACCTGCATCCATCGATTTCCTGCATGTCTTACCAGGTCGTCACTCCATCTAGTGGGGCGACGCCCTACACTACACTTACCGGTACGAGGTTGCCACTTGAGAACCTTTTTTTCCTACCGGTTGTCGGTTCTTCGAGCTATATCGCCGGTCTATTGCCGCTTCAGCTTACTAATCCGTTTGGTTATATCAGTTACTCTGGTTCTACTGTGAATATACTCATTTCTAAGTTTATCACACAGAGAAACCCCGAGAATATCCCTCTCCAAATCTCTCCGAGTTGTGCTGATATACGATGATAATGCCTTTAATAAATATATGTAAAAGAGAAAATAGATTTAACACTTACTGGCCTAAATCTCATGACTCTTAGACCCCCAAACATGATTTTCTAGGGTAGTTTATAGAAAGTGGAACCCCCTGTTGTTTGAATAACGCCCTCCATATCCATATAAAACGTATGGGGTGTTTGCTTGCTAACGAGTTTGCCTACGGAGGCGTAAAAAAGTAGCTTGCGATATGTTGTTGGTATCGTGTATATTTATGGTTCAGTTTGCAAATAGATTCACGCACAATTTATAATAGAATATATTTGAAGTACTCGTGATTCACCCCGGAGTCGCATAGAATCATTGAAATACAAAAATATTTAGTATATCAATGCTTGGACTGATCTATTCACGTGGCGCTTTTTAGATTTAAGATGATCATTTTTTTCCCATTTAATTGTTTTTTTATTAAAAAAATAAATAAATTTTATGAATAAAATATAACCCAAATCCTTCCTGGTATTGCTATCCATTTGCTCGTAGAGTTTCATCACAATTGTTTAAGCCGTCCCGAAGACTACGTAAAGTGTCATCACCAGCCGTTCCGAAGACCAGCCCGTACAGACACAAAGACAATAATTTTAAAAATGGTTATTTATGTTTACAACAGCATGCAAATAATCCCGGAGCTGGACAATTCAACTTTACTTATAAGTATAGATTAATAGAATTATTCGCACATCTTAGATGGCTGCGTAGGATAGTGGCTTAGGATTCAGTTTCGGCTTAGAACCGCGTGTTTGAATCCCATACGGAACAATTATGGCCTACAAATAACTGTTCTGGGTCTGGATGATTTGCGACGATATAGGAGAGAATCCTATTTTGTAGAATATTAAAAAAAATACGTATGTAAATAAGTTTTTAATATAATTGCGAATATAACATAAAGTAAAGTAAAGTAAAGTTACAGCCTGTATACGTACCACAGGCCTGGGCTCAGGCCTCTCCTCATTTCTGAGAGGGTTTTAGGGCAAGGAAGTGTCCGCCACGCTGCCCCAAGTGTTGGCGAACTTCACTATGAAATATTTTTTTCTTATTCCTCAGACATGCAGGTTTCCTCACGATGTTTTCCTTCACCGCCGAGCACGTGGTTAATCAGCACTTAAAATTGCAATTAACAATTTCATTGGTGCCGGCGGGGATCGAACCCGGGTTACTCGCGTTCTATTATATTTACAGCGAGCGTTAACCATCTGAGCTACCACGGCTCATGGAATATAACATATAATTACATTATTTGAGGGAAAATTATGTAAAACTCTTTAATGTTACCTAGTTAGTGCAACAGATTTGGGCTCAAGTTAGTCGGATCCGTAGCGCAGTGGCTTAGCATTGAGTTGCGGCGCTGAGGGTCGTGAGTTCGAAGCCCGCACGGAACCAGTCCTTGTGCAATTTATGTTTGTAAACTGCATCAAGTCAAAGGTGCCTCAAATTCATAATCTTTGAGCGCCTTTTGTAAGTTATAATAATAATAATAATAATAATAATAATAATAATAATAAATATAATAATAATAAGGCGTAGGGAAGTGACGACCCCATCGCCCGCTGACGTAACGGTTATGTGACAAAACCGCTACGTCAGCGCAGTCAGTCAGCACCTTGCCAAGAGGTGTTAGTGCCGTGCCTCGGCAAAAATTGAAGGTGCAAAGGCCCGCTTGTGCACATGGCCTCACCATGAAACGGCGCCGGGTCTGGGCGTCTCCCGCTAAATGACGCCCACCACTATGGATGATGGAATACGGAAGAACGCGCAAAGGGCCGCTGCCTGGAGGTCGCCAGGGCGCGTCTGGAGCTGGCGCTGGACGCGGCAGCATGCGAACCGCCAGCCGAGCGCGAGGTGCTGCACGACCACCCAGCAGCCCCTCGCATCCATCATCCCCACCAGCTGGCTTGGTGTCGGCAGGGTCTTCGCGGGCCCAGCAATCGGCACCCGCCTCTGGTGGAGTACGCCGCATGCGTTGGACAACCCAGATGAACAGCAACGCATTGCGGGCGTATTTTGGGGCGAAAGGGGGAGAAACTGGATGTTTGGCGTATCGGGCTAGGATGCATCGTCTTTTTGCTGAGCTGGAGCCATCTTTAACCGTCACAGAGCAAAACCTGGCAGACCGAGTTCGGTATATCTTGCGCTCAAATATATTTGATGTCGCCGAACTCGAACGGCTACGACGTGAGGCTGTTCCCTCGTCGGATGAGAATGCTACGGCTGAGGATGCGGCGCCACAAATGGTAGAGCAACCCGCAAACGTGGATGCCGCCGTGAATACCCCAGTTGTGGTTGATTCAAACGATGATGGAACAGTCGCCCAGGAACTGGAATTAGAGCATATGAGGAGTACATTGGAAGAGGCGATTGTGGAAACGCGCAGTACGCCTCTCGAAAATCGACCGCGACTTCCCCGCATAGCCCTAAGCAAGCGGAATCGGGCTGTCGTGAGGGCTCTGAACCCAATGCTGGTGACCTATTTGGAAGCCAGCCGGGACCTTTGCGAGACGGACTCAATTCTTTTTGGCGCCGCGCTGGCAGTCTGCCGTATCATAGGCGCCAAGGTTTCCACGGCTGGACGCGCTACTGGCCATAGTAGCGCTATCCCAGCATGGAGAAGAAGAATTGAGGAACGTATCGCAAAGGCTAGAGCTCTCATCGGCAGACTGATATGCTTCAGATCAGGCAACAACAGGCCAAGAATTGTGCGCACCGTCAGGATGGCGTTTGCTGGGACAAATGTCAGTTTGTCCCAGCCGGATATAACGCAAAAACTGACGGAGCGCATAGATGATCTGAAGCAGAGAATCGCTGCTTGGGGAAAACGGATTCGGCGATATACCGAGAGGTCGACACGGTTCAACCAGAATCGTCTCTTCCAGAGTGATCAGAAGAGGCTCTATGAATCATTGGAGCGACCAATGGTAAGTGGAACGGGTCCAGCACCGAATCAGGCCGACACTGTAGCATTCTGGCGCGGCCTGTGGTCAGAGCCCGTAAACCACAGCGAGGGCCCTTGGACGGAAGTTGTGGCGAGTCAGTGTGCGGGTATTACGCCCATGGACCCCGTCATCATAACGCCGGATGACGTAGCTGAGGCGGTCCGTAGGGCCCCGAACTGGAAAAGTCCGGGGCTTGACGGGCTGCATCACTACTGGCTGAAGGGGTTCATGGTGTGTCACTCTGTGCTTGCCCGACAGTTTCAAGAGGCTCTCAACCAGAAGTCGCTCCCAAGCCTCTTCACTACTGGGATCACTCATTTGGTTCCTAAAGACCAGGGTACCACAGACCCGAGCAAATACCGCCCCATCACGTGTCTACCGACCATATACAAGACACTAACATCCATTTTGAGCGCGAGAATCACTTGTCACCTGGACTCAAATCAGGTGATGTCGCGCGCTCAAAATGGATGTCGGGGCGGTGGTCGTGGAACCAAGGAACCACTCCTCATTGACGCGGTCATTGGCAAAGTGGTGAAACGCAACCGTCGGAACTTCTCCGCCGCCTGGATAGACTACAGAAAGGCATTCGACTCGGTGCCCCATACATGGCTAAAGAGAGTCCTCGAGCTGTACAAGATAGACTGTACAGTTAGAGACTTCCTTGAGCAGTGTATGGGGCAGTGGAGTACGATCCTTTGTCATCTGGGCGAGCGGATGATGGCTGCGGAGAACCACATAAGGATAAGAAGGGGTATCTTCCAGGGCGATTGTCTGAGTCCAATCTGGTTCTGCCTCTCTCTGAACCCTCTCAGTACCTTACTGGAGGGCTCCGGGAGGGGATTTCAGCTACGGAGAGGAGGGACAAAAGTGACCCACCTTTTCTATATGGATGACCTCAAGTTATTCGCCTCCAGTCGCTCCCATCTTATGGAATTGCTAAACATCACTTGTGAATTTAGCAATTCCATTGGAATGGAGCTTGGGACGGATAAGTGTGCGGTCCTCCATGTTGAAAGGGGAAGGGTTGCTAACTCTGAGGGCGTAGACTTATCTATGCCCGTCAACTTAAGGACCCTTTCCGAGGCTGAAACATACCGATACCTGGGTATGTCACAAAACATCGGTATCGATGAGACTGGTATGAAACAGTCAGTTTGCGACGTGTTTTATGCACGCTTGACCAAAGTGCTTAACAGCCTTTTGTCCGGTGTGAATAAGGCACACGCATATAACGGCTGGGTCATGCCTGTCCTCATGTATACCTTTGGCATACTCAGGTGGACTCAGACTGAACTTAACGCCCTGGATAGAAAAGTCCGCACTACCATGACGTCCCATAGGATGCATCATCCGAGATCGTCGGTAATGAGGCTGTACTTGTCGCGGAAGCATGGTGGTCGTGGCTTCTTGAGCGCGCTCACCATGCATAATCGCGAAGTGTGCAGCCTCCGTGATTACTTCCTGGCGAGATCGGATGATCCATTCTATATGGACGTCATTTCTTGTGATAAAGGACTTACCCCTCTATCCTTAGCCAACGAGCAATGGCAAGACCCGGCAGTGCAGAGCATTTCCGACCGAGAGACCGTATGGAAGGAGAAGGAGCTCCACGGGAGGTTCTACAAGGCTCTACATGAGCCTTTCGTAGACACAGTAGCCTCCCTCCACTGGCTACGCTTTGGTGATCTCTTCGGGGAAACCGAGGGTTTTGTCTGTGCAATACAGGATCAGGTTATTAAGACCAACAACTATCGGAGATACATCCTAAAGGATGGCACCGTCGACATCTGTCGAGCTTGTCGCCATCCCGGTGAGTCACTTAGGCATGTTATCTCTGGTTGTTCGGCGCTTTCTAACTCTGAGTACTTGCACAGGCACAACCTAGTAGCCAGAATTCTACACCAGGAGCTCGCTCTGAAATACGGTCTCGTGGACCGGAAATTGCCGTACTACAAGTACTTGCCGGAAGCCGTGCTCGAAAATGATCGCGCCAGGCTCTATTGGGACCGGGCCATCATCACAGACAGGACTATTCTTGCGAATAAGCCTGATATTGTGCTGATGGACCGGGCACAGTCAAGGATATTTTTGGTCGACATTACCATTCCGTATGACGAGAACCTCGTGAAAGCCGAAACAGACAAGCAAACAAAATATCTGGACCTGGCTCACGAGGTGACCGACATGTGGGGTGGTCTGCCGACCGAAATTATTCCTGTAGTCGTCTCTGCAAACGGGCTAATCCCAGTCAGCCTCTCGGGTCATCTGAGGCGGCTGGGACTACGTGGCGGACCGCTCCAGGTTCAAATGCAGAAGGCGGTGCTCCTCGATACCGCCCGCATCGTCCGCCGGTTTCTTTCCCTTTCCCCCTAACCCTCGGCCGTTTGGTCTCCCCTGCCGAGGGCCTCCATCTGGTTGGGCTTTTATTTATTTATGTACTTTTATATTTATTTTATGTTATTGATATTTATGTATATTTATTTTTTCATTTTCATTTATAATTATATATTTATAGAACCCAACCAGATGAGAAAACTATATAGATACCCCATAATAATAATAAAAAGGCGTAGGGAAGTGACGACCCCATCGCCCGCTGACGTACAGATGTGACAAAACTCTACGTCGGGCAGTAGTAGCGCCCTGCCAAGAGTGTGAGCGCCGTGCCTAGGCAAAATTGTGGGTGCAAAGGTCCGTTTGTGCATATGACCGAACCACGAAACGGTGCCGGGCTTGGGCGTCTCCCGTTATTTGGCGCCCATAAATGGATGATGGTACAAAGAGGAACGCGCATAGGCCCGCTGCCTGGGGGTCGCCGGGGCGCGTCTGGAGCTGGCGCTGGACGCGGCAGCATGCGGGCCGCCAGCCGAGCGCGAGGAGCTGTACGATCACCTAGCAGCCCTCCGCATCCATCATCCCCACCAGAAGGCTTGGTGTCGGCTGGGTCTTCTCGGACTCAGCAAGCGGCACCCGCCGCTGGTGGAGCACGTCGCATGCGTTGGTCACAAACAATGAACGCAAACGCACTGCGGGCGTACTTTAGGGCAAAAGTTGGAAGAAACCGGATGTTTGGCATATCGGGCTCGGATGCATCGCTTTTTTGCAGAGCTGGAGCCATCTCTATCCGTCACTGAGCAAAACCTGGCAGACCGAGTTCGGTACATCCTGCGCTCCAACATATTTGGTGACGCCGAACTCGAACGACTACGACGTGAGGCTGTTCCCTCATCGGATGGAAATGCTACGGCTGGGAATGCGGCGCCACTAATTGCGCAGCAAACTGCAAATGTGGACGCTGCCGTCAATATTCCATTTGTGGTTGATTCAGACGATGATGGAATAGTCCCCCACGAACTAGAGAAAATGAGGAGCATATTGGAAGAGTCGATGCTGGAAACGCGCAGCATGCCTCTCGAAAATCGACCGCGACTTCCCCGCATACCCCTTAGCAAGCGAAATCGGGCTGTCGTGCGGGCTCTTAACCCAATGCTGGTGACCTATTTGGAAGCCAGCCGGGACCTTTGCGAGACGGACTCAATTCTTTTTGGCGCCGCACTGGCAGTATGCCGTATTATTGGCGCCAAACTTCCCATGGCTGGACGTGCTACTCAACAAGGTAGTGCCATCCCAGCCTGGAGAAAAAGAATCGAGGACCGTATCGCAAAGGCAAGGGCTCTCATCGGCAGACTGACAAGCTTCAGGTCGGGTAATAATAGACCGAGAGTTGTGCGCACCGTTAGAATGGCGTTTGCTGGGACAAATATTAGTTTGTCCCAGCCGGATATCACGCAGAAACTAACGGAGCGCATAGATGACCTGAAGCAAAAAATCGCTGCTTGGGGGAAGCGGATTCGACGATTTAGCGAGAGGTCAAGGCGGTTCAACCAAAATCGTCTCTTCCAGAGTGATCAGAAGAGGCTCTATAAATCATTGGAGCGACCAGAGGTATGTGGAGCGGGCCCAGGACCGGATCAGGCTGACACTGTCGCATTTTGGCGTGGCCTGTGGTCAGAGCCCGTAAACCACAGCGAGGGCCCTTGGATGGAAGTTGTGGCGAGCCAGAGTGCAAGTGTTACGCCTATGGACCCCGTCACCATAACGCCTGAAGACGTGGCTGAGGCGGTTCGTAGGGCCCCGAACTGGAAAAGTCCGGGGCTCGACGGGCTGCATCATTACTGGCTGAAGGGGTTCGTAGTGTGTCACGCTGTGCTCGCCCGACAGTATCAAGAGGCTCTCGATCAGAAGTCGCTCCCGAGCCTCTTCACTACTGGGATCACTCACTTGGTTCCTAAAGATCAGGATACCACAGACCCGAGCAAATACCGCCCCATCACGTGTCTACCCACTATATATAAGACACTGACATCCATTTTGAGCGCGAGAATCACTCGTCACCTGGAGCTAAATAAGGTGATGTCACGCGCTCAAAATGGATGTCGGGGCGGTGGTCGTGGAACCAAGGAACCACTCCTCATTGACGCGGTCATTGGCAAAGTGGTAAAACGCAACCGTCGGAACTTCTCCGCCGCCTGGATAGACTACAGAAAAGCATTCGACTCGGTGCCCCATGCATGGCTAAAGAGGGTGCTCGAGCTGTACAAGATTGACTGTACAGTTAGAGACTTTCTCGAGCAGTGTATGGGGCAGTGGAGTACGATCCTCTGTTATCAGGGCGAGCGGATGGTGGCTGCGGAGAACCACATAAGGATAAGAAGGGGTATCTTCCAGGGCGATTGTCTGAGTCCAATATGGTTCTGCCTCTCTCTGAACCCTCTCAGTACCTTACTGGAGGGCTCCGGGAGAGGATTTCAGCTACGGAAAGGAGGAACAAAAGTGACCCACCTTTTCTATATGGATGACCTCAAGTTATTCGCCTCCAGTCGCTCCCATCTTATGGAATTCCTAAACATCACTTGTGAATTTAGCAATTCCATTGGAATGGAGCTGGGGACGGATAAGTGTGCGGTCCTTCATGTTGAAAGGGGAAGGGTTGCTAACTCTGAGGGCATAGATTTATCTATGCCCGTCAACTTAAAGACCCTTTCCGAGGCTGAAACATACCGATACCTGGGTATGTCACAGAACATCGGTATCGATGAGGCTGGTGTGAAACAGTCAGTTTGCGACGTGTTTTATGCACGCTTGACCAAAGTGCTTAACAGCCTTTTGTCCGGTGTGAATAAGACACACGCATATAACGGTTGGGTCATGCCTGTCCTCATATATACCTTTGGCATACTCAGGTGGACTCAGACCGAACTTAACGCCCTGGATAGAAAAGTCCGCACTACCATGACGTCCCATAGGATGCATCATCCGAGATCGTCGGTAATGAGGCTGTACTTGCCGCGAAGGCATGGTGGGCGTGGTTTTATGAGCGCGCTCACCATGCATAATCGCGAAGTGTGCAGCCTCCGTGATTACTTCCTGGCGAGATCGGATGATCCATTCTATAATGACGTCATTTCTAGTGATAAAGGGCTTACCCCTCTATCCTTAGCCCACGAGCAATGGCAGGACCCAGCAGTGCTTAGCATTTCCGACCGGGAGACCGTATGGAAGGAGAAGGAGCTCCACGGGAGGTACTACAGGGCTCTTCATGAGCCCTTCGTAGATACAGTCGCCTCCCTCAACTGGCTACGTTTCGGTGACCTCTTCGGGGAAACCGAGGGTTTTGTCTGTGCAATACAGGATCAGGTTATTAAGACCAACAACTATCGGAGATACATCCTAAAGGATGGCACCGTCGACGTCTGTCGAGCTTGTCGCCATCCCGGTGAATCACTTAGGCATGTTATCTCCGGTTGTTCGGCGCTTTCTAACTCTGAGTACTTGCACAGGCACAACCTAGTAGCCAGAATTCTACACCAGGAGCTCGCTCTGAAATACGGTCTCGTGGACCGGAAATTGCCGTATTACAAGTACTTGCCGGAAGCCGTGCTCGAAAATGACCGCGCCAGGCTCTACTGGGACCGGGCCATCATCACAGACAGGACTATTCTTGCGAATAAGCCTGATATTGTGCTGATGGACCGGGCACAGTCAAGGATATTTTTGGTCGACATTACCATTCCGTATGACGAGAACCTCGTGAAAGCCGAAACAGACAAGCAAACAAAGTATCTGGACCTGGCTCACGAGGTGACCGACATGTGGGGTGGTCTGCCGACCGAAATTATTCCTGTAGTCGTCTCTGCAAACGGGCTAATCCCAGTCAGCCTCTCGGGTCATCTGAGGCGACTGGGACTACGTGGCGGACCGCTCCGGGCTCAAATGCAGAAGGCGGTGCTCCTCGATACCGCCCGCATCGTCCGCCGGTTTCTTTCACTTTCCCCCCTAACCCTCGGCCGTTTGGTCTCCCCTGCCGAGGGCCTCCATCTGGTTGGGCTTTTATTTATTTATGTATTTTTATATTTATTTTATGTTATTGATATTTATGTATATTTATCTTTTCATTCTCATTTATAATTATATATTTATAGAACCCAACCAGATGAGAAAACTATATAGATACCCCACAATAATAATAATGTCATCCAGACCGAATTTCGGTCACGGCGGCCTGCCTCAACGGAGGCTAGCCATCGGCTTAGGACAGGATTATAGTGCACAAGTGTATGCGCAAGCACAGGTGCACCCTCTATTCCCTCACTCTCTTAATCCGATGGGACAGTAAACCGACAAGACCGGAGAGAGATCAGGCGCAGGACCAACGGCTTTACGTGCTTTCCGAGGTTCGGAGTGAGACACCACCAACTTCCTGACTCCGGGCAGCTACTGAGAATTTCTTGACTGAAAAACTCAATAATATTTTTTTTTGGGCCGACCCGGGATTCGAACCCAGGACCTCATGATCAGTAGTCGCACTACTACAACTACTAGACCAACAAGTTTGTACCTTTATAGAACACATTAAGGAGTGTGTGACATTATATGCGAGTTGCCGGTATAATTAGCATACGTATAGCATACGTAAAAAATATGGACGGATGAAATGTTTCAGTAAAAATATGTGAAGTTTATAAGGTTCTACAACTTTATTTGTGATGTGCGTGATAAAGATTTTTTTACGTTCATGCATAATTCCCTCCTCTCCCTTCCACCATCCATCAAACAGACACTTGGCCAGTTTCCTCTCTATCCTTGGTTTATTTTAATAGAATAAGGGTGACAAGCGAGCACACAGCCCATCTGATGGTAAGTCGATACTGTGACCCATAGACATCTACATCTATCCTCGATTAAGAATCAAAATGCGTTATCATACCTGAGGAATAAGATAGAATGCCTCGTATCCAGTAAAAAGGATGCTTCTATTCTGTGAGAGCGTGGTCCTTCCCCGGTAGAGCCGACCCATTAGTGCTACAACCGTAAGATAGTTGCAGCGAGGCTCTACCACGTAATATTATTGCCATACCACGTATTTCAACTAAACAGTTTTCTTTGTAATCCGTACAGCAATTAGTGAAATAATTTGTCGGCATCTGTCTTTCTATCTGATTACAGTGTGTGTGTGTGTGTGCGTGTGAGTGTGTGTGTGTGTGTGTGTGTGTGTGTGTGTGTGAGTGTGTGTGTGTGTGTGTGTGTGTGTGTGTGTGTGTGTGTGTGTGTGTGTGTGTGTGAGTGTGTGTGTGCGCGCGTGTGCATGTGCGTGTGCGTGTGTGCGTGTGCGTGTGTGCGTGTGTGTGTGTGCGTGTGCGTGTGTGTGCGTGTGTGTGCGTGACGTGTGCGTGTGCGTGTGCGCGCGCGCGTGTGTGTGTGTGTGCGTGTGCGTGTGTGTGTGCGTGTGTGTGTGTGCGTGTGCGTGTGCGTGTGTGTGTGTGTGTGCGTGTGTGTGTGCGTGCGTGCGTGTGTGTGTGTGTGTGTGTGTGTGTATGTATGGCTGTGTGTCATAGGCTTAATCACCACTTACTATCAGGGGGCTTATAGTAACTTTAGAAATACTGGGACCAATCACCTTAATTTCATTTTATTTAGTACGTACCTCCTTATTTCCAAGAGAATAAAAGCAATAAATTACGGAAAAGGTAAAAGTTGTTCCGAAAACACGAAAATAATAAAATAGGGAACGTTATTACAAATAATAACAATGGCCCGGTGAGTGGAACGAGAGTCAAAATCATTCAATACAATATAATTCAATTCTCAATTCAAGCCAAAAGCACCATTCTCCCTTAACGCGTCATCGCTTACGATTCAACCGCAGCCATTGTGACACGGTTCAAAAATTTATGTTTTGTGCGAATCTTGCACAAATATGCTATAAAATTAATCAAACGGTTTTTTGTAGAATAAGGGTGACACCTACTGTGTCACCCTATTCCATTCACAGTTTACCTGACAGTAAGTGGATGCTATAGATCTTATATATTTTTATCGATTAAGAACCAAAGTGCAGATGGTTTGCCTCTCCTAAGGATTAAGAATCTTGGTACCATAATCATTTTTCTTCTTATATTTCAATTGTGTAACAATTCTTTAGATTTTCTAGATGTGTTTGTAATTAGGAATCCTGATAACACCTTGAGCCACACTGTGTATAGAAAAAAAGACCCATACAGATAGATATTTAAACGGTAATTCTCAATACCGACATACCGATTTTTACCGACAGTAAACATCTGGCCAAGAAAGTTTTGCAAGAAAACAAGCTTCGGGTCCCGCGTTTACGTCACTGTGAACGAGTGAAGCTGGCCACAGTCGACTGTGGCCTACTGTACTGCCAATGCCAGAGGTGTCACTACGCTACGTATTGTGCGTGCTTCCATTAAAACATACTTCAAGTCACCAAAGAAGATTAGGCAGTTTTTACTATCAGTCAGGTGTAATGTTTCTCTGCAAGATGCAGGAGTGTACAGGCTAAATGGTGAATGTGCTATCTCTTACATAGGACAAAAAACCGATCGGTAGATATCTATTGTCAGCAACTGCAAACCATGAAGGAAGAACTAGCTGGTAAACAACCGAGCTTGGTCAATCGCTCTAGGCCACTGGTGCTTCATGACAACGCAAGAACACACACTGCACAACAAACAACCACTAAGTTAGATGAGATACAGAAGTAAAAACTTGCGTTGAAGAACACATAGCTGATGTGAAGAATCGACGCTCCGGGAATTCTGCGGTCTTTGAAAACGTACAAGATCACCCTCGTCACTACACCAGATTTAATTAACCACAAATCCTCGCCAAAGAACACCGATTCCTTCCAAGAATGATTCGTGAGGCTATTGAAATGAAAAAAACATCATAACTTCAATAGAGAGATGACTGGGTGCTACCATTTGCTTGGGATTCTAATTCTATAATTAATAAGATTAAATCCCAACCCAAGCATACAACTGTAAGACTTCAAGATACTATAAGTCCACACTGCGTAGATCGGAACAAAAATTAATAATTTTTATCTTGAGGTAGCCGTGGTTAACTATGAAATTGGACGTCGAACACTTCAGTCACCCATAAGTTGTCACCCATAAGTGACTCTGGGTACTGTAAAGTGCTCGAAACGTCGGAAATATAAAATATACGTGATATAATCCGTAAAAACTAATTTCATTTAAACCCCGGTACGAGTAAATGGGTCTCCGTTTCTTCATAACTCACTATACGGAACTCAGTAGCATTTAACTGGTATTTTACAAAGAACGTGATCCTACCTCGGCCGAGCTGAGCTATTCATGCTGCAGCTTTGTATAGCTATCATAGCTGCAGCGTGGCTCTACCATGTGAAGTTACAGTTCAGTTTCAGTAATTTTGCAAACTATAACTAAAATTCTGATAATTTTAATGCTACAGATTGATACTTGTGATATAGATTGAAGCAGTGACATGATTATAGTGCTTTGCAGCATTTATTATGTCTTATGAAATATATAAGCTATAAGAAAAAGAAACGTGCATTGGGAAAGTGCGGCGGACACTTCCTTGCCCTAAAACCCTCTCAGAAATAAAAGGGGGCCTGTGCCCAGTAGTGGAACTTAGAATTTTTTTTAGGTGAATCGAGTTTGATGATTCTTTTTTTATTTGAAAGCTGGTACTTTTCATATAGTCTCATGTAAATTTAATCAAGATTTAACTAGTAGTTTTTAATTATCCTTAATAATACGTATTTAATTTACTTCGAATACATTGGTGATATTCTCATTTTATTTATATTGAAGTCAAATTAAAAAGTTGAATAAAATTAAAAAGGTTTGTATCTACAAAATTTTAAATTTTACCACTGGTTTAAGATGGCTGCAGGTATCCAACTGTACAGAAGCTACTAACCATTAGGTGTGCAGTAAGTTCTCATGTCACATACGTTTAAAAAATATTATTGTAAATTTGTAATAACATATTACGTAATATCTGTACCGAGTAGCAATATAAGAAAAACACAATAGCCCTTTTATCAAAAGCAGTCCATGTATTTTTGCGAACTACCCTTTTTACGAACGCCCATTGTGGGGATGTCCAAGCGCTTGCAAAGGCTATAACATATTTATTTATTGGAGTGACTTTGCCGGGCTGATTCTTGTAGCCGAAAAAACTCGGCGCTACTAACTTATTGAGTTGCTCAATCTCGCAAATTGGTATTGTGTTCTTTTTGACTTTGAATAGATATAATGTACTACTCTTTACAGCTGTGCCAATTTTAATCTTATTCTTCTTTAATATTTCTCTTTTATAAATGAAATGAAAACACCAAAAAAAAATGATTTCGTGCAATGTGCGGGATGTCGCCAGATATTTCTTGTAAACCAGTATTTAAGAGACTTGGTATATTACCCCTCCCGTCACTATACATTTATGAAGTTAGTATGTTTGTCTTTAAAAATAAGTCATTGTTTATTAAAGCGCGTGATATATATCCCCGAAACCGACGTGACCCAGAAAAACTAGTTCTAGATATTATTCCTTGAATCGTTAAATACAACAAAAGTTACCTAAATATGTGTATAAAAATATTTAATAAACTACCTAATGAATTTAAATTATTAAGTGAAAGATTATTTAAGAAACATTTGTTTAATTGGTTAAAAACCGAATGTTATTATGACGTAAAAGATTTTTTAGACTGTAATTAATTAATATTGTTGATTCTGTATTTGCATGCTATTTACCATTGTTAGCGTAACACGATTGCACTAGACAAATTGTAAGATCTTTTTATACCGTGGTTCTTGCAAATAAAAATTTATGATTATGATTTAATGATTCGATAAGTATTATCTTTTAAGGATTTGATCGATCAATGGAAAATAAATTATTAATTATAAATAATGATTTCTTTTAATGGTTTACGGGTTTAATGGCGTTTACTTTTGTTTGTTTTTAATTCCAGACGTTTCGGGTGCTACTTTAATTATTAATTTTGGTTCGATATACACAGAATGAGCTAAATGTATCTTGAAGTTTTGCATTGGTATATTTGAGTTTAGTTTTAATTACAGGATTCCCGCAAGGATACTACCACCTGGTGGGGATCCTGCTGGTTTCTATATTGAAATTAGATTTTTTCCATTTCAATAGCCTCATGTATATAATTCATGGTAGGAACCAATGTTCTTTCTAAATCAAACCCATGTAATGGCGGGCTCGATCACCATTGCTACTGCAAAGCAGTCGGAACGTCGAAAATTAAAAACGAATAAAAAACATTTTTAAAACCGTTGAATAAAACTAAATTTACGGATTTTATCGCGTTTATTTCACTACTTTTACTTATTTTTTAATTCCCGACGTTTCGGGTGCTTTACAGCAACCATGGTCACGGGGGGGGACTGAGATGTTTGACGTCCCAATGTCATAGTTAGTCCGGCTACCTTCAGTTTTTTGAATATTAATTTTTGGTCCGATTTACGCAAAACGAGCTTATAGTATCATGAAGTCTTGCAGTGGTATGCTTAGGTTTGGGTTTAATTTTGTTAATTATAGGATCCCAAGCAGGTGGCAGCACCCATCCATCTTCTCTATTGAAATTTGGATGTTTTTTAATTTCAATAGCCTCGCGTATCATCCTTGGTAGGAATCGGTGTTCTTTTGCGAGAATTTGTGGTTTATCAAAACGAATGTAATGGTGAGGACGATCTTGAACATGTTCGCAGACTGCAGACTTCCCGGAGCGTCGGTGCTTGACGTCAGCTATATGTTCTTTCACGCGGGTTTTTATGGATCTTTTTGTTTGACCTATGTAAGAGAGACCACATTCACAATCTAACTTGTACACTCCTGCATCTTGTAGAGGGATATTACACTTGACGGATGGTAAAAATTGACTAATCTTCTTCGGCGGCTTGTAGTATGTTTTAATAGAAGCTCGCTTCAAGATGTAGCCAACCTTGTCTGTGACTCCTCTGACATATGGTAGTACAGCAGGTACACGCTCGACTGTGGCCGGCTTCACTCGGTCACTGTGACGTAGGCGCGGGACCCGAAGCTTGTTGTCTTGCAATACTTGCTTGACGTGCTGAAGTTCGGCGGCCAGATGTTTTCTGTCACAGATCCCTCGTGCTCTCTGAAACAAAGATTTACCCACGGTAGCTAACTGTGAAGGATGATGGTGAGATTCACCATTTAAATATCGGTTGGTATGGGTCTTTTTCTATACACAGTGTGACCAATTGTGTTATTAGGATTTCGAATGACTAAAACATCTAAGAAAGCTAAAGAATTATTTGCCTCTAACTCCATTGTGAATTGTATTTTAGAGTTTTTAGAGTTAAGGTGGTTTAAAAATGCTGTTACTTTGTCAGATGGTAAAATTGTGAAAGTGTCGTCTACGTACCGCTTGTAGAATCTTGGATTTATAGGAGCAGTAAGAAGGGCTTTCTCCTCGAAGTCCTCCATGAATATATCAGCGACTATGGCAGATACAGATGAGCCCATCGCCATACCATCTACTTGCTTGTAGAACTCCTCCTTCCACAATAGATAGCCAGATGTGAGGCAGTGTTTGAGTAATACTGCATATTCAGCAGGCATGTTATTATATTCTAGCTTCCTAGTTACAATTGATATGCAGTCTTCAATAGGTAGGCATGTGAATAGTGACTGAACATCAAAACTGACCATAGTTTCATTGTCAGCGAGATGTAGGTCTTTTATCTCACTAACAAAGTGGTATGAATCCTTTGTGTGTGCTCTGGTATGTCCTCTCAGTGGTGACAGTACTTTTGCCAAGTGTTGTGCCAGCTTATAAGTTGGTGAATCGATCTGGCTCACTATAGGACGTAGTGGAGCGTTTGGTTTGTGTATCTTTGGTAACCCATACAACCTCGGTGGTTTGGTACATGATGGTATTAGCGAATTCACGTCGAGATTTAATTTTTCGGAGTGTTTCTTTATTAAATCGCTAGTTGCTTTAAGCGTGTTAGTTGTGGGGTCTGTTTTGACCTTTTTGTATGTACTTTCGTCCGATAAAAGCTGTATTATATTAAAGTTATACTCTGGAATGTCCATTATTACCGTAGCATTTCCTTTATCCGCGCGGAGAATCGTTAGATCTGGTCTGTTCCGTAAGTTAATCAACACTGTAAATTCGTCTTTAGGAAGGTTTGGTTTCGGCACTGAACTACGACGTATCAAGGACGAAATATCTTGACGTATAGCCTCCAAATCTTCCTTACCAATATTATTTTTAAACAGACAATCCTCAACGCTGCAGATAATTTCTTCGTACGGGATTTTTCGCGGTGTTAATGCGAAATTCATTTCCTTCGCTAACAACTTTATTGTTGGTTCGTCCAGTGTATGTTTTGATAGATTATAGACCGTACGTTGTTTATTGTTTGCGTCTGTGGTCAACGGTTGTGTTTCGTTCTGACGTTGACTTAGATGGTTGGCATTTGATTTGATCGTTAATTTTTGGTATTTTTCTATTTGTTTATTTTTGCATCCATTGTATTTTGCTGTTTCTCGTTTGTTTAAAGTTTCGATGCAATTATTGACAGAAAACATCTGGCCGCCGAACTTCAGCACGTTAAGCAAGTATTGCAAGACAACAAGCTTCGGGTCCCGCGCCTACGTTACAGTGACCGAGTGAAGCCGGCCACAGTCGAGCGTGTACCTGCTGTACTACCATATGTCAGAGAAGTCACAGACAAGGTTGGCTACATCTTGAAGCGAGCTTCTATTAAACATACTACAAGCCGCCGAAGAAGATTAGTCAATTTTTACCATCAGTCAAGTGTAATATCCCTCTACAAGATGCAGGAGTGTACAAATTAGATTGTGAATGTGGTCTCTCTTACATAGGTCAAACAAAAAGATCCATAAAAACCCGCGTGAAAGAACATATAGCTGACGTCAAGCACCGACGCTCCGGGAAGTCTGCAGTCTGCGAACATGTTCAAGATCGTCCTCACCATTACATTCGTTTTGATAAACCACAAATCCTCGCAAAATAACACCGATTCCTACCAAGGATGATACGCGAGGCTATTGAAATTAAAAAACATCCAAATTTCAATAGAGAAGATGGATGGGTGCTGCCACCTGCTTGGGATCCTATAATTAACAAAATTAAACCTAAACCTAAGCATACCACTGCAAGACTTCATGATACTATAAGCTCGTTTTGCGTAAATCGGACCAAAAATTAATATTCAAAAACTGAAGGTAGCCGGACTATGACATTGGGACGTCAAACATCTCAGTCCCCTCCGTGACCATGGTTGCTGTAAAGCACCCGAAACGTCGGGAATTAAAAATAAGTAAAAGTAGTGAAATAAACGCGATAAAATCCGTAAATTTAGTTTTGTTCAATGTGTAGTGTTCGCGTAAATTTAAGAAATCATTATTTTTAAAACCGGTTTTTTTTTGCTTGCAAGAGGGAG